TGCATCTAAGTAGGTCGGTCAGTGGCTGAACTAATGAGGCACATGATGGAATAAAACGTCAATAGAAATTGAACATTCCGAGAAAACGTCTAAGTTTCTTGAAGGAATCTGGTTCGGGAAAGTTCTTAATAGTTTCTATCTTGTCTTCGGTAGGTCTAATGCCTTTGGAAGTTATTCCATTTCCTAAATATTCAATGGAAGGGGAACCAAAAATACATTTCTTGGGATTGATAACAACTCCAAATTGTTCAAACCTTTGAAATAACAAGCTTAAGTGTTCCGTATGTTCTTCCATCGATGAGCTGGCAATTAAGACATCGTCGATATATACAAAGACAAAATCAAGACCTTGGGTAACTTGGTCCATAAAACGCTGAAATGTTTGAGCAGCATTCTTTAGTCCGAAAGGCATTCTCAAGAATTCGAATAATCCAAAAGGCGTGGTAATTGCTGTTTTTACAATGTCTTCTGGAGCGACTGGTATTTGGTGATATGCCCTGACCAAGTCAACTTTAGTGAAAATGGCCTTTCCATGTAGGGTCAAGGAGAAGTCGTGGAGATGAGGTATAGGATAACGGTCTGGGACCGTAGCATTAGTCAAAGCGCGATAATCTCCACATGGTCGCCAGTCGTGATTAGTTTTGGGTACCATATGCAAAGGTGAAGACCATGGACTGTTAGATGGTCGTATGATGCCTAGCTGCATCATATGTTCGAATTCTGACTTAGCTGCTGCTAGTTTGTCAGGTGGTAACCGTCGTGGACGTGCCTTCACAGGTTGTCCTGTTGTGATGATCTTATGAGTAACTGTATGAGGTATATCCTCGACGCTGTATGACGGCTTAAGGATTTTAGGAAAACGTTGTAATAAAGTAGAGAACATTTCACTCTCCGGCTTTTCTATGCAAATACTATGAACAGAGTAATCACATATAATACCGTGGATCTTGAGTTGGGTGCAATTGTCAATCAGTTTTATCTTGCTGATATCAACTAACAGATTGAAATGACTTAGGAAGTCTGCACCTAGTGTAGCGTGGCATACCTCAGCTACTATGAAGGTCCATGTGAAACGTCGACGTGGTCCCAACTTTAAAATCATTGACTGTTCGCCATACGTCTGTATGTTGGTTTGGTCGGCAGCATGGAGTGAAAGTTTCCCCGGTATTTTTGGCTGATCGCCTGGATAGAGAGGAGGGAATAACACTGACCTCGGCGCCTGTATCTACCAGGAATAACGTGCCGGTAGTCAAATCCCCCACATTGAAAAGGCGACTGGGGTGATTGCCAGCAACAGCCGTCGCCATTACTGCCTGGCTGGGGAGTTTCCCTGAGTTGAGTTACCACTGTTGTATATGCACGGTCGGATACACTTCAGGGTATTATGCCCATACCTCCTATGATAACAACAAATGTTACGGCTTTGAGACGGTGTTCTAGAACGTCGTCTAGATCTTGATCGCCGTTGCTTGGATACCGTATGTGACTGGTTCCTTTGTGCTCGAAGCCCAGACACTTCCAGTCGTAAGTCTTGCATTTGTGATGTTAACTGAGAAAGTAACCAAAACATTGGTGCGTCCTTCATAGACATGGAAGGGCTTGGTGGTACTGCCTCTGTGGACACACTATTTATGCCATTATTTGATAACACGTCCATGACATCATCTGCCATCTTAGCTAGTTCTTCAAGGTCAGTCCTCCTAGAAGATATCATAATAATAATAATTTATTTTCATAAAAACGTATAAACTTACATGAAAATGCATGCCATTTTTACAGGCACGATCAAGTATGGTGTAATGTCAAATCTTAGATTGTCTACAAGTTAATAATGTTTCGACAGTTAAATATTTGATATATATATATGATTACACTCATTGTCTGAACCAGGCCGTATAGTTATTGAATTGTACAGTTGTCCTCCAGGTTGGGCGGGAAAATCGGCTTCGTTTCGTTTTCATCCCGTGGTTGTCGGCATACGATAACCAACCAATATTGAGGTAAGTACAAAGTTTACCAGGGATTGGAAGCTGTTTTAGAAAAGTAAAAGTGCTAAGGTGAATCATTAAAGTGTAATAAATTAAGCAAGTGCAATATATCATTAATAAATACATTTATGTAGGAAACAGAATGGGGAAGTAATTAATCCTTAGGCCGACAACGTTCATTTGCAATGTATAATAAAACCAATATATTTTGTACTATCATGATGTCCACTTTTGGCTTTCATACAATTATTTTCAAGCCAGTTGTTTTTATTTCATGCCTTTTTGTGCATTTGGTGCACAATCGTACCCTACAGAGAATAGGAATAGAATGAGTGGAATCGAATTCATAAAGAGCCATAAAAAGTTAGGTTAAATGGAATGTATTGATGAGGATCAAGTAAAGACGTTATTAGAAAATGAATGAGATAAGACATTGTGAAGTGGTATTTAAAGATCTGACAATGGATAGCAAGTTAATTTATAAGATGCCCCATAAATCTGTGCAGATCCCGCGTGGTCGCATTTCAACAATAAGCTGAGCGAATGGTATATATTTAAAGGTAGAAGCATGATCTGTCAAGGCGTTCATTATTATCTTTTTCAAGATAAAGATCCAAGCCCTCATAAAAATCAGAAATATCTCGAGCCTTCAAATTGCATATTGCTGTTCCTGCAGAATGGGGTGATTCACCTTAGTGACCACCACCATATCTACTGATCAGCTATCGTTAGGATTTGTTGAACGTTTTGTGGTAAACGTTGTAAAAACATCTGACGTAGGATTAACTTATCTACTTTGTGCGATCCAATCAACTGACGCATATGTCTAAGTAGTTCGGATGGTTTTTTTGTACCTGGATCACACGCAGTAAGTAGTTGTTGTATGCGCTTCTCATCGGAGACGGTGGTTCACTGGATAAGTGCATATTTTAGTTTGTCATATTGGGAATTTGTGCTTTCACTGTCTATGACATTCATAACCTATCGGAGTACTTCAGTGAGTATTGTTGCTAACACGCAACCATACTTGGCAATCTGCAATGTAATACCTCGAGCTGCAAACAACTGTTCAATGATTGTGTCAATGTAGTTGAAGATTGAACGATCAATTCATGGTTGTTTGCTCAAAATCAACTTCCCCAATTTTCGCGGAGGCATCAATACGACAGTCATCGTCTCATCAGTCGCTGTTCAGAAAGAAGTCAGTAGAAAACCGTCAGAAGTAATATTGTGATTTATTATTGTAATATTTGTTCACAGACCTTAGTTGTAACATTGTTTATATGTTGGTGTAACAATAAAGAAGCCTCGAGTCACCAATTGGTGTTTTGGTTTTTTCGTCCGTTATTACTAAGCTTTTCTGAGAAACATCAAGGAACAGCGTGGGCCCGAGCGTAGCAAGAGCTGTGCATTAACGGTTTACGTTACGTGGCTGACAGATTGTGATCCAGACACGTGGTTCAGCCAGATCAAACTGAGATAGTCTTAAATCCGCGAAGGCGTTAATAGAAAATTTCTGTGTTTCTTCGCCTTAAATTAAATTCTTCAGGGATAGTGGTACGTTCAGATGGAGCCATTTTCAAAAAAATATTTAAGTATGGATAAATACAAAACAGCATAACTGCGGTAGCAAAAATTAAAGCAATGTGAGTTTAGAAGGCCAAATAGCAACAAAAGTGTTCAAAACGAGTTAACCATTGAAAAAAGGTTCGAAACGGGCTCACCAATTACTGTGGTGGACCTTTTACTCTGTTAGCTTAGTAACCCAAATTCAAATAGAAAATAAAAATACCAAATCAGTTATGTTACTGGAAGAATATATTAAAGTTTCGTTACTTGGGTATTTACAAGTTCCAAAATCCACAACTAACGTAATAGACTCCAGGGGTATTGCGGGAAGACTGCTCCAACACTAATTCTCCAATGTTGACGTTGCCAGAGGTCGACCAAGGTACGTAGGAAGAAACTACGGTGCTCCTGCGAAAATTTGAGACAGAAAGCAGGTGGTTGGAATTGATCGAAGGCAGTTGAGATGGTGGAGAAGACGGAGAGTCGAAGGCAGAACTATATTTTCATTCAAAACCCGAGGTAAAGTACAAGGTACGGAGATTATGATCAAAACAAAGTGATGTACAATATGTTCATTTCTTACATAGTAGTAAAAATTGGATAAGTTTATGTTCGAGGACTCCACAAACGTTTCAACTGCTATGCTTTCCCACCTATCCATGAATATATCTGCTACAGCCTGGGATATTGGTGATCCCATGGCAACTCTCTCAGTTTGTTTGTATATTTTCCCTTGGAATTTAAATATTGTGGAAGTTAGGCATAGCTGCACTCCCAGCATTGTGTCTTGAGTGGTATTTTGTCCTAATTTCGAGTTCTTGGTCAGAAATGTGTTGATTTCTGACCGCATCTATAGCCATATTTATTGGTATACTTGTATATAAATTGACAATGTCAAAACTAACCATTTTTTCTTCATTATCTAATTTTAAGTTTTACACATATATTAATACTCAAGGGTGATTTAGAAACTGACTTTTCTAACCTTTTCTTCCCTTCTAGGATACATTTACAGGGTCATCGCAACAGGCTACTCAAACCGAGGACGATTAAAATACGTGCAGAATTTAGATTCTCTCACATAGTGATCAACGACTGGAACTCCTTACCTGCTTCAGTAGTATCAGCTCCATCGGTGAACGATTTCGAAGGGAAGTTAGGTCTCCGCGGATATATTTTCTATAAGGATTAACACAAGCCACAAGGGCCTACTATCTTTGTCATCTGAATCTGAGTCACAGAATGTCACTTATCACATTACGTCAGAAGAACTAGTTTTCACCCTCTTAATGGACGACGTCAGCAGCGGATTAATAAGGAGAAATAACTGATGACAAAATGGAGTAGGATTTTACTCCATCTAATTTCCAATGAAATGTCAATGAGCATAGAACTGTGTCTGGATAGGAAGTTCGAAGGCGCTGGATTTGTACTTTTCGGAACATGGTCTCTGTTGGCTCGATTTCTGCTAAACTTACGGATCTTCAGAAGAATATAACGAAACTTTCCCTTGAACTAGATGCTATACGTAAAGAAAAGGAGTCCCAGAGAAGTGTTATCAAGAAGGTATTACATGCATAATACTCCTTAACAGACAGCTTGACGCAGAAATTAAAGACAAACATAGATTTGTTGACACTCTAGAGCAAAAAAGTGAACAACATGGAGACGCCATTAAGGCGAATACTGAGCGTCAGAATGAACTTCAGAAATCTGCGGCTGAATGCCAAAAGTAACAGCTTTCCACCATAACTACATTTTGTTAGAGCACACGAATCCCTAGAAAAGCGTTTGGAAAGCCATGAAGAAACTATCAGGTCTCTAGAGGATGAAGTTAGTGAAGCACAGAGTCAAGCGAGGTCTTCAGCTCAGATCTACGATGAGGTAATCTGAGTAAGACATTTCTAACCTTGTAGACTCTCAAACAGCTTCAAGAAAAATTGGAAGTAGTAGAAAAGTATGAGAAAAAAGAAGAATCTCTCCTGAAGTAATGTGTCTTAATATTGAGACTTATTTATAGAAACATAAAAGAGTTGAAAGATGAGATAAGTTTGCACGGCAACAAACTTCGTCGTATGGATGCGCAAGAAAATGAGGTATATTATTTTTTATCCCTTTTGATACCAAGGTGTTTTCAGTTGATAGTTTTGTAGATTGAGTCTAAATGTAATCGCGTGTTACAATCAAAAGTGAAATTCAGTCATTTTGCCCCACCTCTAGACTTTAAAATGCCATGTTACTTAGTAGCTCGTCATCGGTCTATCTCGAAATGGAGGTTCAGAGTATAATTCATGACGTATGTAATCCGGGAAACTTGCCTCACAATTGGTTTTGGAAGTGACAGTGCAATCCCGTTTTGTAAAATTTTGGATTCCTTCAGAGTGCTGGTATTCGAAATAGTCTGATGGTTAAATGAAACAGTTACTCAATTCCAATCTATTAAATAATCTTAGGGTAAGACGTAGTACTAAATTAAAAAGATTATGGATCTCCATTAACTGAGTTGGCTAGTGCATGGGACTCGTCTTGAGCCATCCTCTTCCTTAAAAACCGCTGTTAGACGAGGTGGGATTAGTTTGGTCAGTAGCTCAGTAGTGTCAGACAAGTCTGTCTGTCTGTCTGGATTCAACATAGAACTTGGCACCGAAGTGCAGCAGTTCGAGTTGCCACGTTCCAAATAGCACACAGAGGTAGACAAGAAGATGAGTGAAGAGAATCAATAGAGTTTGACAAGTATAAGAGTGAAACAGAATGGGTAATGGTAGAAAGGAATATGAAAGATTACAGAGACTGAATACATCTGCGCCATTGACAACGATTTTGAGCCATGTCACCTATTGTCTCCAGCCATTGATTCCTAGAGTCCCGAGGGCCCCAACCCGGGAGTCTGCATCTCCCTACCTGACTCAGTTTAACTGTCAAGGATTTCATGGATTGATGCCATGTTTTTGTTTGGCCACCACTGGCTCTTTTCCAACCTGAACCTATATCAGCTAACAATGCCCGTCGGGGGAGGCGGTGGTTAGGCATGCGCACCACGTGACCTAGCCATCTTAGTCTATGTAACTTTATAACCTCGTCGATTGATTTTCCCTCTTTGCCCAACACTCTACGCCTAACGTCAACATTACTTATCTTGTGAAACCACCTAACGTGAGACAGAGATCGCAGACATCTATGATCGAAAGCAGTCAACCTTTTCATGTCTTCAACGCGTATTGGCCATGTTTCAGAGCCATAGAGAAGGACGGAGCGAACTGATGAGCAGTACACACGTCCCTTGGTTGATAACCGGATGTCACGCCTACGCCAGAGATGGTGTAAGTCAGCGAAAGCAGCTCGAGCTTTTCGGATCCGTGCTGAGATTTCATCGCCAATCAGTCCGTTGGTGCTAATACAACTTCCCAAGTAGGTGAAGTGGTCAACATGTTCTATCACTTCACTCCCTATCACTAAGTTAGGAGTTGACGTGTCCAGTCCTGTAGCAGCATCTTACATTTTGTAGGGGCGAATCGCATGCCAAACATACGAAGATTGCTGCTCAAGGTGTTCAGAAGACTCTGCATTTTGTCAGCATCCTCCCCTAACAGGACTATGTCATCTGCATATTCTAAGTCCATAAGATTATTCCCTGGTAACAAGTCGATTCCTAAGTCACTACGTTCAGTTAAGGATACTTCCATTAGCATATCTATGATGAAGTTAAACAGAAATGGGGAAAGTGGACATCCCTGTCGGACACCACTGGTTGTTACCAATTCAGATGACAATTCCCCATAAGCCCTTACACGACTACGTGAGTTTGAATAGAGTGCCTTGATTAGTGCAATGTACTTTCTTGGCACTCCCTTCACAGTCAGACATTGCCATAGTACCTTTCGGTCCACGGAGTCGAAGGCCGCCTTCAAGTCAAGAAATATGACAATTGTTGGACGCCGAAAAGTGTGTCTATGTTCTAGAATCTGTCGAAGAGTGAAGATATGATCTATGCACCCTCTACCTGGTCTAAAGCCTGCTTGATTTTCCCTTGTCTGTTCCTCCCGAGTTCTGCTTAGTCTATGCATGATTACTGAGCCTAGGATTTTAGAGACTATGTTCGTTAGGCTGATCCCCCTATGATTATCACACGAGGACTTGTTTCCCTTCTTGAATATCGGTATAATAAGTGACTTACCCCAGTCTGATGGTACTGTCTCTGATTCCCAGACTTTGCCTAGTACCTCAGTTAATCTACAAACTAGTATGTCACCCCCATATTTAAACACCTCCGGAATAATTCCGTCGGGTCCTGCCGCTTTGCCTCGTTTCAAATTACTGATAGCTTTTGTAACCTCACCTACAGACGGCGGACCAGTGTCTATATCCCATTCGGGTACGTGGTGGATGGCGGGGAGGTTCAGTGTGGCTGTAGGCAAGTTAAATTGTTCCTCAAAGTGTTCTTTCCAGCGTTCAAGGCGTCTATCCTGAGAGCTAATTAAGGAGCCATTTTTCTCAGAAATAGTCTCACTTATGAATTGCCTTCGCCCGCCCGATTCTGTGATGAGTCTAAAGAGTTGCCTAGTGTTGCCTATCGCCAATGCTTTTTCCATCTCTTTCGCCTTTGTCACCCACCACTGTTCACGGTCCTTGCGGAGACTTTTAGTAAGTTTCCTTTTGTGCAGCTTTCGCTCCTCATTGAATTCGGAGCTCGCCGGAATAAGTCTTCTAGCATCTATCAGTTCGGATGAGGCAGTCGAAATCCAGTGGTTTTTACTCACCTTTGGATTTGTCTTATTCACAGCTTTTACAGCTGTATCTATAGCTGACTGAATATTCTTCCAGGCTTCTCCAGGGTGAGCACAGCTGTCGATTCAGATATGCGTTTAGCTAGTTCTTCCTCAAATAGGGATTTAGTTTCCTGATCGAGCTGGGGACGTGATGGTTTTACCGCCAGCTGTTTCCTACGTCCGTTCAGTCGTAAGCACACACGAGCCCGGACCAGTGCGTGATCGGTATCTACACACGTGTTCCAGAAGGAGCGACAATCTCCTACCGACCCACGCCAACGATAGCTTATTGCTATGTGGTCTATTTGTGTCCAGCGTTGGTTTGATGATGGGGGTCGCCAGGTTAAACAGTGTCTCTCCTTGTGTTTAAAGTTAGTGCTTACAAGAAACAAATGATTATCTGAACAGAACTGTAGGAGACGGTCACCGTTGTCGGTTCGCTGGCACGGAACTCCATAGGTGCCACCGACATCCTTCTCAGATTGACACAATTTCCCTACTTGAGCGTTGAAGTCACCAGCTAGAACGACTATATCTGAGCGTTTAGCCTTTCTCACCAAACTAGACAGCTTTTGGTAGAACTCATCCTTCGTTTCATCCGAACTGCAGTCAGTGGGGGCGTAGGCGGAGATTACGAAAAGGCATCGGCGAGTAGTGCAGTCCTTTCTCCTTCTTACTGATCCGTTCAGACGGACAGCACACATTCGGCTATCTACCGGGATCCAGTCAAGCAATGTCTTTTCTGCCCTAGTACTCAGAGCTATCCCTACGCCAGCTAATCCCCGTGAACTAGCTGTGGCATCTCCTGACACCCTCAAGGTGAATTTTGAAGATTCATCCTGTTGGCCAGGTGGGGTTAGGTGAATAACCACACTTGGGTCTTGTATGCGTGTTTCTGAAACACAACATACATCAATGGCTCGAGATGCCAGGGTCTTAGCTAGTGATGCTTGTTGTCCTATTTGGCAAAGTGTCCTTACATTAAATGCTCCTATATGAAATTGGTGGCGTGGCTTTAGTCTGTCTGTCTGTCTGTTTTCGACATAGAACTTTGCACAAATGTGCGGAAGTTCAAGTCGCCACATTCCGTGTAGCACGCGAAGCAAGAGAAGAAAGTACAAGAAAAGCAAATAGAAACAGTGAGCAGAGGTGTGAGACAAAGGAGTAATAAAGAAATACAAAACAGTTTCATTGGAGATCATAAGTCACAGGGAGTGGATGCATCTGCGCCACTGAGAACGATTTTGAGCCATGTCACCAATTGTTTCCAACCATAGATTTTTGCCGTCCCGAGGACCCCAGCCTGGAAGTCTACACCTTCCTACGTGGCTAAGACCAACTGTTGTGGATTTCATTGACTGATGCCAAGTTTTTGTTTGACCGCCGCTAGCTTTTTTCCAGCCTGACCCTATATCCGCTAACATTGCTCGTCGAGGGAGGCGATGGCTTGGCATACGTAACACATGTCCTAACCATCTCAGTCGATGTAGCTTCACGACTTCGTCGATTGATTTCCCCTGTTTACCTAGGACTCTACGCCTAACCTCCATGTTGCTCACCTTATTATGCCACTTTACACGGGATATAGAACGCAGGCACCTATGATCAAAGACAGCTAGTCTTTTCATGTCTTCCACTCTGAGTGGCCAGGTCTCACAACCATAAAGGAGGACGGAGCGGACTGATGAGCAGTACACCCGCCCTTTGGTCGATAGTCGAACATCTCGTCTACGCCAGAGTCGGCGTAAACTAACAAATGCGAAACGAGCCCCTTGTATTCGTGCTGAGATTTCGTCAGAGATCAGCCCGTTGGGGCTGATGGTACTTCCCAAATAAGTGAAGCGGTCAACGTGCTCTACCACTTCACTTCCTATTTCTAAACTAGGAGCCAGCGTAGTCCAGTCCTGTAACATCATCTTGCATTTGGCGGGAGCGAATCGCATGCCAAACATTCGTAGATTGCTGTTCAAGGTGTTTAGAAGACTCTGCATTTCGTCAGCGTCTTCGCCTAGAAGGACTATATCGTCTGCATATTCCAAGTCAACGAGATTATTCCCAGGTAGCAAGTCAATCCCTGAATCGCTGAAGTCACCTAGGGTTAAGTCCATTAACACATCTATGATGAAGTTGAATAGAAAAGGAGATAATGGGCATCCTTGACGGACACCACTGGTCGTCACCAGTTCAGATGACAGCTCGCCGTAAGCCCTCACCTGGCTGTATGAGTACGAATAGAGTGCCTTAATCAGTGCAATATATTTTCTCGGAATTCCCTTGACTTTAGGAGACTATCCGTGGTGGTTTTTTGGCTTTCGTCGTTTTTAGTGGACACAGAGTGAAGAGGGAGTGAGGAGCCATCAAGTAGAGGAGTTGCATCACTGGGGGGAAGGTAAGGTAATAGAGATGAAGATGAAGACAAAGATAAGTGAGGATTAGAGAGGTTTTGTGTGCGTTTTGGATTGTGAGGGCGATTGTTACTTCCCGGCTGCCCACACCGTGGAAGTTGGTTGCGTGACCGCAGAGCCCAGGGGACAACTGCTTGAGGCCGGTCACACGCGGCATGTTTTTGATCGTTCTTTGTTGTTTTGTGTGCCTCAGTAGCATACTTATCACTCCCGCCCTGTGACACGGCAGCAGGAAGCGCGGTCGTTGTTAATCCGGGCCACGGCCGATCCGGCATGAAATTTTGTGAATTTGTTTGGATCATGGTATTGGATGAGGTAGCTGCTTTTTGTTTAACCGCTTTCCAAACAACCTGCCTGGCATGGTAGAACCTCAAGAGACATAAGTCTCAGCCAGTATAGCTTGATTAGGTCATTGCGGTGTTCAAGCCCGACCACCACGTCAAGGTAGCAGCTTTCGGTCGGGTCAGACAAGTACGTTTCAACAGTCCATAAACTCCTCTACTTTTGAGCTAGTTTGTCTCACCAGGGCAGTTTGATTTCTCAGATCCAATGGTTAACGGCCTTCGGTGAAAAATATACTTACTCTGTTTAAAGTCGCAAATGTTTTCTCTACTCTGCGTTATTCTTTTGTTTACATGTTTACCCACCGTAGTATTATTCTTTTCCCTCTGCCATTTTGCGTTATTTTTCAGAAGTGGGGAATTTTATTGTTTCACAACCCTAATTCGTTTGTTTGTCTGTTCGTACATTGCAACGTAATGCTAGTTGACTTCATACCTAGTAGCCTACGCAGAATACATCGAAACTGGCTTTAGGTGTCAGGTTAAAGTGCATTAGTTAGACGAGTACTATTAACATCTTGAGCGGGACACTGTCATG